TGATGTCCCACTGCTCCGTCTCCTTCAGCTCAATGAATCCCACCGCCAACAAACGCCGCTTGCATTCTTCTACCACTACAGAGAGGGATCAAAACAGTTGAGTCACTAATCTATCTATTAGTGACTGTTCACTACTGTCCTGACAATTATTGTCTGCTTGATTTCATTTATAAATTACTTGTGTAGCAAGTCAATTTGTATTGTTTTTTGTCTGGATGCCAAAGGTCAGAGTGCAAGGTAAGAAGTAAGATATTATGAAACACCTGCAGAAGCTTTATCTTATCACAAACTCAAAGGCATCTGTTGAACTGAACAGCGACTCGACCCCGTTTTAATGCTGACACATGCACAACTCGTCGTTTTCACATTACAGGAGAGAGAACTTCATATCCAACAGCCCGGAGGTTCTGCGTCTTTTTCATCAAACACATCTGTAACTGTAACTCATGTGTTGATCTCGAATTGTGCAAAACAGAAAACGTGTGTAACTCCACAAGGTAAAAAAAAGAAAGATGTAAACCATTAACTTTGCCAGCAATAGTTTGAATTTGAAAAGTTACAAAAAATGACTAATCAAGATCAGTGTGTTACATATTCTGAGGACAAAGGTAACTAAAACGGCACCAAGGCATTTGTTTCACTGAAACTTTTTGTTAACTATTTCTAAAATACTTTATAACTCTACTCTGCTATTGAACATAATATATTTGGCTCTGCTACATTTATTTCACAGTCATAGTTGCTTTTCAGCCATTTGACATTACTACTTGTATTTACATAAATCACAATATTATAATGATATATGTCAACATTGAAAAAGTAAATTGTAGTTCATAGTGTTTTAGGGTATTTTCTGATTAAGAAATACAACGTAATAGTTCACCTGCATTAAAATGAGGCCAGAAATGTATGTAAACCTTTAAATGCACAAATATATATAAGGTCTTTAATAACAATCCTGCAAAATAAAAGGATAAATCCACAGTTTCTCTGATCTTACCGTGATATGGAGACACCCCCTTGTTGACAAACTGTAGAAACTCTCTGGCAGTGGACTGCACAGCTTCCTTTGAGAGCCTCATGGTCTAAAACTGATGGAAAGTCAAGAAAAAACAAAAGGTGAGAAAATAGATCAGTCTTCTATTAAACGTCTGCAGCTCGTCTCCTGACTAGAAAGAGAAAGAGAGACCGAATCACACCTGGGTCACCCTCCACTGGCTTCCTGTTCGTTACTGTTAACTTTTCTACCTTTTACAGACTGACACCGCCTCACTGAGATCAGCCACTCAGCTCCTCCTGGACTTATCTAAAACAAGGCTCATAGCCAAAAGCTTCCGCACCTTCCAAAACTGTGGAACAACTTACTCCTCCACATTAGATCTGCCCCCCCCCCCAGCACACTTCAAATCATTACTAAAAGCACATCTGTTCTCCTTGGCCTTCTCCTCGAGTCGAGAGCTGATTCATTTTATTGTATATCTTACACTGAATTTGAATTAGTCCACTTTCTGTCTTGTTCTATCGTTACTCTGTTGTACCACGTGGTACTGTCCTCTTGTTGTACCTTGTACTTGTGAAGCACTTTGCTCAACCCACTTGTTTTAAAGGTGCAGTGTGTGTTCAGTGACATCTAGTGGTGAAGTGTCATGTTGCAGCTGAACACACCTCACCTCACCTCACCTCACCTCACCTCACCTCACCTCACCCTCTCCTTCCAAACATGAAAAAGAAACTGTGGCAGCTTCAGTTGTCATAAAAACTCAAAAGGTGTTTAGTTTGTTCAGTCTGGACTAATGTAAAAAACATGGCAGCCTCTGTAGAGAGGGTCCCCTGCATGTAAATATAAAGTATTTAAATATAAAAGCCTTTTCAACAGAAAATAAAACTACAATTCATACAATTTAGATGAAATGAACTAGTGACAACAATAGATCTCTGTCACCTTCACACACTGGACCTTTAAATGTGCTATGAATAAAATTGTCCCTGGTATTGACACCTGGCAGTTAGCGTTGCTAGCTTGTAGTCTCTTCTTCGCTGCTTCTCCTGTGAGGGCGAAGAGTCAAAGCAGCCCTGAGTGAGGGAGCAACCCCCCACACACCGCACACAGACTACAAGTACACAGATCTATGTGTGGAACTTACCTGCGATATTAATATTAATGGTTCCAACGTGTGAGCTCTGCCACAGAGCGACAGGAACAACAGAGAGGAACAGATCAGCTGACTGCAGCTGACACAAGGTGGTGGTGTTCTTCTTCGTGTTCTTCTTCGTGTTCTTCGTCTTCTTCTTCGTCTTCTTCTTCGTCTTCTTCTTCTTCTTCTTCCTCTTCTTCTTCTTCTTCTTCTTCCTCTTCTTCTTCTTCTTCTTGCGTATATTGGCGGTTGGCAAACCAGCTTATAGGCGCATTACCGCCACCCTCTGGACTGGGGTGTGAATCAGTAGATTGGCAGTAAACAAACAATACGACCAAAGAACTTCAAAGTCCTGCTTCTCTTAAATAGTTATTCACATAACATACAGGATTTTCTACATTTTCTTTATTATTTATTGCATTTATGTTATCACTTGTGAGTACGGGTATTTCAAAATGTTTCCCTATGCCATTCATTTCCCTAATCATTCCCCATACGTTCAACAGTTGTGTTTCTCTCCCAATTTTATTACAGTATTGCCTCCAGCATGTTCGTTTTGACAATCAAATTATTTTCTGGACTATTGCTTGAGCTTTTTTGTATTTAATTGTCTAAATGCTTTGTTTCTAAATTCAACATTGACAGGAGGAAGCAAAAAATAGACGTAGATTTTAGATTTAGCAAAAATGTGTATTTATTTTTTTTAATAAATCAATGAATCCTCTCTCACTGTTCTCTTTCTCACTAACTCATGGTAGTTTACTGTCAACCCCACCTTGTAACCATTTATCATTGTATCGCTACACAGGAACTGACCTTATATAGTCCTGAGCAGCGAGGGAGGAGGGGGTTGGAATGGAGGAAGCAGGGGGAGACAAAGAGAGGGTGGCAGAGAAAGAGGAGAAGAGTCAGGAAATGATGAAGAGGGGTTTACTTCAGCTGTCAGCTTGTGTCGCCTCCCATGCTATTGAGGAAGCCCAGGGGGATGAACACACACACACACACACACAGATTCAGACTCTATTAATAGACATGACAGCCACAGGCTGCAGCGGAGGAGCAGCAGCAACACCTCTAACATAACTTATCAACTCTTATTTCTGTGCAAATGTGACCTGCCCCTGCAGAAAACACAGTGTGTGTGCATGGAATCAAATCAAAACCTAAATGTTATGGGGTTAAGTTTTAAAGACCAGAAAGATGCAGGACAAATGCCGGCAGGTGCAGAGATGAGTATTCAGTAATACAGGCTTACTGATTCTCTGGGGCAGAAAAAGCTCAAGAATGGGAAAACAGAAAGACAGGACAGAGATACCAGAGATGGGACTGAGGCCAGAGGCAGTGCAAGCCTGGCTGAGACATTCTGGAGGATGACAACGAAGCCTGGGTCTCTCCTGATGCTGAGGTCCGGGCTGGCTGCTGGGAACATGGGGCTTAACATGGGACGGTCAATGTCTGAATCTGACAGACTTTCAGCCAATGTGCAAGCAGACGCTGGTGGTTTCCTGGATGAAGAATAGCAGACTGGAGGCTAATTGTTCAATTAAGCAAAAGAAAAATGTGCACATACTGTTTTAATCAATAAATAAATCTCTTTATCGCATCCATTTATTCACATTTGACACAATTTCAACATATTTATCGGCTGCCAGAAGGAACCCTCCCATTCCCAGGGACACATCCTAATGAGATCATCATTAATACCACATATTGTTTGGGAATGTGGGCCTGTGGGAACGAGCGTCTGCAGGCTCATGCTGTACCTCTCCGTTTCTCAGGAGGAGATAGATTTCCTTTTTAAGGCAGGTTTGTCTTCGTCCCCCTCTCGGGCTCCGTCTTTAACAACCTGTGCTGCCTCACCATGTGAGGACGACACAGAGATTTGAAAGCCACCGTCTTCACATCCTCACATTGTTATGTCGTGAGATCACACGAGGGAGAAGGAGAAGATGATTTCTCTCGTGGACGTGTGCTTACGGGGTGATATCACTACTCCTCTGAACTAAAGGTTAAGAGAAGATGTTTGGCATCGTCTTCAGAAATGACTCATCAGAGTGGTTTCTGATGTTTTCACTTCTACGACTGAGGTTTGGCCAAAGTCTTGAGAGTTTTTTTGACCAGTCCATTAACTTAAACCTCTTCCTCAAGACCAAATTTAAATGAAGAAGCACCTGGTTCAGCTTCATTCTTACAATGTGACGACATTTGGCTCCACACCAATATTGACCAATGTTCAAGACTGGGTGTCAGGTTGCAAAAGTCACGGCTCTCTCTTATATTATTATTCAATTTTCACAATGCCACAAGGGGAATTAAGCGCTGGCTTTTCCAGGCATCCAAATACTGACGCTCAAGTTTTTTCTTGCAATTTATCTTGCATTTTCTTCCATTAAAATCCAAGTTTTACTGCAATGAAGTGCTGTTGCAATATATCAGTCCTCTGAGGCTGATTTAAACCTGTTTTAGTCTTTTAGGTATTTCCAAAAGTGATTTGAAGCAATTTGATGCTCAAGGTAAAGGGCATGAGAAAGTGCCAAGGGAGATGAAAAGAAGGAAGGAGTCGAGGTAAAAGGGGTGAGGAAGTGAAAAAAATAAGGATTTTGATCGATGGGAAAAAGGAAAAGGGAAACGATGGAGAGAGAAAAGAGAAGAAAGGGAAAATGAAGAGAGGGCAACTTTAAGAGGGGAGGAAAGGGGTGCAGGGGATGGAGAAAAGAAAAGTGACAGATAGAAAAGTAAGGAAAACGAGAGAGCGAAACAAAGACCTGACGGTCACAGAGGAAGAGGAGGGGGTAAAAAGTGAGGGAGGGGGCAGCTACAAATAGCTGGGGGCAGCTGTTTCTTCTTCAGTGCTCTTCTCTGCTGCAGCCCTCACCAGGCTCAACGTGTCCTCCAACATGGCCTCCTACAGTTCCTCCGGCCACACCGCCTCCTCCTACCGCCGCACCTTCGGCCAAGGCACCTACGCCTCACCCTCCCTCAACCGCTCATTGCTGGGCCACAGCAGTGGAGCCGGGGGCCACGCCACCTCAAGGGTCTACGAGGTGACCCGGACCAAGTCAGCCCCCGCTTACCGCGTCTCCTCCAGCTACTATGGCGGGCCTGTGGCGGCATCAAGGGCCTCCATGGCGCGCTCCTACGCTGGCATGGGTGAGACGCTGGACTTCAGCCTGGCTGACGCCCTCAACCAGGAGTTCCTGACCACGCGGACCAACGAGAAGGTCGAGCTGCAGCACCTGAACGACCGCTTCGCCAGCTACATCGAGAAGGTGCGCTTCCTGGAGCAGCAGAACCAGGCGCTGGCGGTGGAGGTGGAGCGTCTGCGCGGTCGTGAGCCCACGCGCATCGCCGACCTGTACGAGGAGGAGATGAGCGAGCTGAGGAGGCAGGTGGAGATGCTGACCAATCAGAGGTCACGCGTGGAGGTGGAGCGGGACAACCTGGCCGATGACCTGGACAAGCTCAAATTCAGGTGGGAGGGGCAAGAAGGGGTGTGTTTGTTTCTTTAAGAAGAAGTGTGTACTCATTTTTGTTTGACCTCATGGGGACCAAAGCTCAGTTCTTATGAGGCAAAACATCATGTCTGAGGTCCTGTTTAAGGTTCGGGGTCAGAAGTGTGTGTGTGTGTGTGTGTGTGTGTGTGTGTGTGTGTGTGTGTGTGTGTGTGTGTGTGTGTGTGTGTTTCCAAACCTGGAAATATCCGTCTGTATCTCTGCTGATTCACACACCACGAGGGTGAAGACATACGGAGGGGTGGGTGGATGAATGTGATGACACATACGTGTGTGTAATATCATTTCTGGTCCGTGTGGGAGACGAGTGAGTCTCAGCTGGAGGTGTTGCCTGCTGTTTGTTGTGGTTACGCAAAGTATTTAAAAACCCTGATGATGGATTTTGCTTTTAAAGAGAGCATGACAGGGTTTTCTGTATTTAACCAATAAAATGCAGAGAAGGGTTGTTTTCCAGACGGATTATTGTGGTGGATTGATATGTAGCAGCTCCATGAACTTTAGAACACTCTGAGGAGTGTTGGTTGATTTATGTGACAAATTGTCGTCCTTTATAACTTGAAAACTTTAGCTTATACAACACTCCTCAGATAATTTCTTCTTTTACACACAGTGTGCTTCTGTGAGTCCTACATTTTTTGAATTGAGTTGCTATTTTCAGGAAAAACACATAAAAATTGATTATACATCATGAGGATTAGAAAAATATGGATGACTCATTGTTGATGCATGGGAGGTGAAATGAAACAAGCTGAGGTTTAACTCGCCCACGCTGGGTTAGAATATTATCTTGACATAGCAAAAACGACAGCGTTCAATTCTAATTTGAGAGAGACGAATTAAAATAAAACAAAATAGATTACAGTGACATGTTTGGGAGCGTGACAGCGGAAGAGGCGTTGGGGCAAATGTTTCTGAGTTTGTCAGGCAGCTGGATTTAGAATCAGGGGTAGAAAAGAAATATTATCCTATATGCAATACTGCAAATATGTACATAATGAAAATATCTGTGATGCAATGTGGAATCAGACATAAATTAATAAATAAGTTTAAAATGCAATAGTAGAAAATAAGTAAGTGAATTCCCTCTAATACTGGGCTTTGTATTTATTTAAATTATATCTATTTAATAGATATTCAATCCAAAAACAGAAAAGTGAACATGCTATTTGTTATCTAAAATATGACTATAGCGTGTGTGTGTGTGTCTGTGTGTTTGTGTTGCTGTACGAGTCTGACCAAAGTTAGAGCTCATGACACACACCCACATATGTTTACACTGTCCTCTTCTATAAAAGGAGAGGAAAGTCCTCAGACATATCTGAGGGGTCTCTAATCATCTGTCTTTTCTCTTTCTCTCTCTGTGGTTTACATTTGAAGTGCCACTTTTACAAGGATTCAGAGGGAAGACAGAGCTACTGCAATTCAAATAAAATCTAAAACATTCACTGGCAGCTCCCTCATGTGGGATTTACACAGTTTTTACTTACTTAAATACATTTTAAAAAACGGAGCTTTCATCTGCAGCTTTTATCTTCTTTTACTGCTGTCCTGATTTTGTGCAGAGGTAGTTCTATTCTGTAACGTTAAATGCACTGGCTGCACCTTTAATTTAAAGATGCTTTTCTGGTGTAATAAATGAAATGAGCACTTAAGAGGATTACAATAGCATCTGGTTTTGCTTGGGAGCTTTTGTTACATGAATAAAAGCGCTGTTGGCTTTTTTCTGTTGCATTTCTGTCCAGATGTTTTACAGGGAAAGTCTTTTTTTCCAAATAAATATAAGGAAGCATATGAAATTAACTGTAAATGGGAAGATGGACTGTAGCTACAACTGGTCACGAGGTCATCTTACTGAACATGGTGGTGTTTTTCAGGATAATTCCAGTATGTTATTGACAGATATGTGTCAAGATGTATATTTAGATGTGCTTTAGGCATCAAAATTGAATATATCCTGTACAGGACAACATCATTTCAAAGGACTTTCCCTGAAATAGCTGCTGCATTGAAATGGCCACTGTAGGAAAATATATCTAAACATCTACCTTAAATAAAATATGAGAAATACAAGCATCTTGGGAGGAGACGGAGCCACTTTTCATGACCTCAGCTACAGTACTGATGGTGATCTGTGAATTATTGATCGAATCTTCTTCTCTCACATGTCTCCATCACCTCCTCCAGACTCCAGGAGGAGATTCTCCAGAAAGAGGACGCAGAAAACAACCTGGCTGCTTTCAGAGCGGTGAGTCCTGACAAGAAGTCCTAAACAAGGCTGTTGACTCCAGATATTTCTACCTCATGGATTCCTGCAAAACTAGTTTGTATTCAAAACCTGCAAAAAGGTGTCTTCTTAGAATGTGGGATTGAAAATAATCTGCATATCTCTGTGTTATGTTTTCTAATAACTAAAGAAAATAACTGTAATTATTAGATAAAATCTGAATAAATAATACGATTCTTTAACAAGCTCATTAATTCCTTATATTATATTATTATATAATATATAAGCATGGTACAACACAATATGCAGCTACAAACAACTTGTCCACTGAAAAAAAGAAAATTAACAATTGTTAAAATTTGAAAAAATTAATGAAATAAGTTTTTTCTCAAATCAAAGTTATTGATTATGTTAAAATAACATGAAGATGTGAGTATTTCTATTGTTCAGTGAAAACTGCAAACACAACTGATTTCCCAAACTTGTGCAGGATGTGGACGCTGCCACTCTGGCTCGTCTGGATCTGGAGAGACGCATCGAGACGCTGCAGGAGGAGATCGTCTTCCTCAAGAAGATCCACGAAGAGGTTCCCTTTTATTTTCTGTCGTATTTCAGCGAAGTGAAAACTGAATTTGTGGGAGGTGTTTGATTATTTAGATGCACAGATTATTATTTGAGGGAACTAATTAAATATGTGTGTGTGTGTGTGTGTGTGTGTGTGTGTGTGTGTGTGGTGATGAACAAAGAAAGAAATCTCCCACAGCAGATGTAGGCCTAACATTAGTGTGGTGTGTGTTAATAAGAAAGTGATGGCTCTATGATGCCAAAGTGGAGTTGGAGGCGTAGTCACACACTCTGACCCTTTAACCCCCTCTTGACCTCCCTTTTCTTCCTCCTCCTCCTCAGGAGATCCGTGAGCTGCAGACTCAGATGCAGGAAACTCAGGTCCAAATCCAGATGGACATGTCCAAACCAGACCTGACGGCAGCGCTGAGAGACATCAGAGCACAGTACGAAGGCATCGCCGCCAAGAACATCTCAGAGGCCGAGGACTGGTATAAGTCCAAAGTGAGAGAAAGAGACAGATGTTTCATTGTGGTTTATTTAATCGAATCTTTCTCCCCTTTGCCCCAGATGTTGAGATTTCTCTTTAGCGATTCAGTTTTGTGCCCAATCTCAAACCCCTTCTTTGCTTTTTGACATTGAACAATTGGCTCTGTGCAGGAAAAACTGATCAGAGAACATGCAGCCTTCTGCAGCAGTTGTACATGAACTTTAACTTTTGCCCTTTTGACCCTGCAGGTGTCTGACCTGAACCAGGCGGTGAGTAAGAACAACGAGGCACTGAAGCAGGCCCGGCAGGAGACCATGGAGTTCAGACACCAGATCCAATCCTACACCTGCGAGATCGACTCACTCAAAGGCACCGTAAGTCTCTCTCACACACACACGCACACGCACACGCACACACACACACACACACACACACACACACACACACACACACACACACGCACACACGCACTCTGAAAAGGTCAACCTCTTCTCACCACCAATCCAGAACGAGTCCCTGATGAGGCAAATGAGGGACATGGAGGACCGTCATGGACGCGAGGCCGGCGGCTTCCAGGACACCATCGCCCGGCTGGAGGCCGAGATCGCCAACATGAAGGACGAGATGGCACGCCACCTCCGCGAGTACCAGGACCTGCTCAACATCAAGATGGCGCTGGATGTGGAGATCGCCACCTACAGGAAGCTGCTGGAAGGAGAGGAGAGCAGGTGATGCAGGATTTCTTTGGCAAATCAAACAGCCGCCCCAGGTTGTTTGACATTTAACGTTTTATATCTGACTGCCGCAAAGTACTTTGAATTTAAAAAATCAAGGCCTCTTATAGTGAGTTAATACAGAAGAAACATAATCAACAATGAAAAACTGAGTCTAATATTAATGTCAGCTTTTCCATCCCCGCAGAATTGCCTTGCCCGTGCAGAGCTACTCCACCCTGAGCTTCCGAGGTACGATCACATCTGCTGTTACCTGAACGCACCGCTGTCTGTCAAAAAATTATGCTTATAAATTAAATTTAAAGTAACTATGTGTAGTGTTCTTTTGTAAAAAATATTTTTTATACCAAAATTGTTGATAATGATCTGATGAAGTAATAATAAATAAATAATAGAATTGATGATGATATTAACAATTACTTTGTTTCGGATTGAACAGAGACCAGCCCTGAACACCAGCCGCGGTCCTCTGAGATGCATTCAAAGAAAACTGTTCTCATCAAGACCATCGAGACCCGAGATGGAGAGGTGACACACACACACACACACACACAAACAAACACCACATATTGACTTGTTTTATCAATTAGTTCTGATCCTAATGAACTAATGGGTTTACATCTACATTGATCTGTACTGAGACTGGGTCACTGCCCTCCAAATCGTCACCTCTTTACCCCTTTGTCCTCATTCGGTGACATTATCTCAGGAAGTTGAAGATTGAAGAGCTGTTTCTGGATATTTTCAAGCAAATTTGGATTCAGTCACCAGCTTTTAAAACTCATCTGTAAGGACTCAGCTTAGTGCCCCTTTTTCCCCCCATTTCATCCAGGAGGTATTTGTGATCCGTCCAAGTCAACAAGTAACAACTACTTCAGCCAAACTGCCATGTAAATATCCCCAGAAAAACCCAGTGCCCACAGTTCCCTGGAAAAAACACATTCCGGGCATGTTGTGACGAGCTGAGAACTCTATTTTAGCCCGAAGAAAAACAGCACTGTAATGCTTTACCAACGTGCAACTCTGCTGACTGTGCTGAACGCTGTTTTTTTTTTTTTTTAATCTCACCTCTTCTTAAATTGTTTTCATCCGCATTTGAGTCCTAAAAACCTTATTTTCTTAGGAGAGGTTAAGAAACACACCTACAGAAATCAACAAAAAATAAGGAAGGTTGTGGGACTACAATAAAAACACAAAAAAGAACTTTAGAAAATATTGATGCCATGTGGATAAAGCACAGATATGACACATCCTCCATATTGAATAAGCCATATCAACAGGATCTTGACACCAAAGTCACAAATATTGTAAATTAGGAGACAAAATAGAGAAAAGACAAAGGGGTTGACATCTCGAGATTCCTCTGAAGTGCGTCACTGAACTACAGCACACAACAGAGCTACCTACAAACAAGTCTTTGATAAAAATAAAAAATATATGGCATAAAAATGAAAAGCAAAGATCTTTGCAGTGGATTTGAGATTCGGTTGAAAGACTATACTTCTTGCTTAGCACCTATAGTTGGTACATACCTGAAATGTTCCTGGAGCTGTTCCACCACATCCACATTCAGTTTAAATTTGTTCCACCTGTGAGCAGCAGGCAGCTCGCCGGGTTTCTTTGTGCAAGTGAACACACCACAATCTGAAGACCTGCTCAGAGGTGCTGCATAATATGGAATCATAAGGGATTTGAACTTCCCAATGAATCTGCTTTTAATTCAGAGTGTCACCCTGACCGTTGTGTTTCTGCCTCGCAGGTCGTCAGCGAGTCGACGCAGCACCAGCAGGACATCATGTAACCATCTGCAGAACCAAAGAAGAAACTAAAGAAAAAAAACACAATTCCGTCCTTCCCTGAGATGGACAGATGAAGAAAACAAAAAAAAAAGTTGTGCAAATAAAAGTATATGGAACAAGACTTTACTATCTCATCAGTATGGCATGTACTGTTGTTGTCTGAGAGTTCATCAGGGGCTGTTTATCTGTGCTTACTGGTAAAGTCAGCTTACATACATACATGTGTGTAAGCTGTGTTTTTCTTTCATTTAGAGATAAAGCAGGATAAAGGAACCTTGACTTTGAAAGAAGAAAAACAGAGTTTGCTGCAGTAGAATCAGAAAAAAGGATTCTACAGAGTAAAAAATGTTAAAAGTCACAGAAATCGATTATTTCACTGCAGACGAGTTAATCTTCTACTGCAGCATCTCTGTTTTACGCCACGTTTGTCGTAAAAGCCTGCAGATAGATCACATTCTTCTATCTGCACGGGATTCGCCCTCTGGTTTCTTTCGGACATGGCAGCATCCTCGCTGTTCGTCAAGGTCGAGGTGGACCGCATGTGCCTATGTTCATCAAAGGGACGCAGGGAGGACAGATAAAAAAGGAGGAGATGGAGGAGGAGATTAAAAGATGTCTGGAGATGAAGAGATAGAAAAGGTGGTTGTGTGAGGTAGAAAACAGAGAGAGTGGGCAGATGGGGTCTGTATTGCAGGGGCGAATGTCCTCTTGTGACTTTCAAATAATATTCGGCAATAAAAGGAAAGTGGATTCCTGTTACAGCTGAGTGTGTGTCCTTGTGTTAAAAGACGATTCTCACACAGTGATGGTGTACAGGCCCATAGGAACACATGCTTTAATAATCATAGTCATTATGTTCAATTAAAAAAAAGCATGGCGTTACTGGCCTACAGTGATGAAATTGCACTCTCCTTTACAGAAATAAATAAATCAGCAAATAAATACATCCCACTGGAAATGTCTCCATTAAATTATGCTGTTCAAAATGATAAAATGGTTGAAAAACAAATCAAAAAACATTAAGTGCTGTACATGTTTCACATCTATGCACACGAAGGGGTGGAGGGTGGGAGGAGCCAAAAGGAAGCCACGCACGGCGGAGCGGGGATTGGATGGAGCGCGAGATCATGCATTTCCCACGGACGAATAAAAATACACCGTCCATTCACCCCCCATGCCCTTCCCCGCACATTTGTTTGCGTTTTCTTCCCCCCAAAAAAGAAATTCACATTTTTCACATGTTGACAAAAGAAATTGCGTCAAGAAACAAGAAAAGAAGAAAAACAATGCACGTGATGGGAGGAGTCCAAGAAAAAGTTGTTATGGCCACTAGTCCACTTTTTTTGTTCAGACGCCCGGAGCCTTGATTACACTGACACCTCAGCTCGGTCTGTTTTTATTAAAGTTGCAATTTAAGTTTTAACGATTTAAAATCACGCAAATCTAACGATTGCAATAAAAAAAAGAGGACAAAAGACAAAAATTTGTCAAATGGAGATATTTTCATATGATGGCAGATGATGGAAAGAGTGAAACACATCTACAGTTACAACAATATTGTAGAATAAAATATAATATTACCCAATTACAGTGTTTTGGACCAAAGTTTTGTGGATCTTTTTATTACAAGTGTCAAAGATAAATCAAAGCTCATCTGAATTTAAAAACCAGATAATATAATTAAGCCTTTGATTTGAATCATGACACAAAGATGGGATTATTTAGTAGCTCATAGCCCTGTTTGATTTTGCCCACACAGACAATGAACCAATCAAATTGCAGCACTGATCCTGACAGTCACATAGGGGGTACTATCATTATGAAAAAAGAAATTAAACTTACATCTCTTATTTCTGTCAAGCAAACACCAAGGAGAGATATATATATATATATATATATATATATATATATATATATATATATATATATATATATATATATACACATTTAGATATATTATAATCTCAATGAAAGAGCTTGGAAACCTACGTTTGAACGACAACAGATGATGATGGAAAGACTGAAACATATCTTCCATCTATTCTTATGGGATTAAAAATACTACTAATCTCTTGGAGAGCCAAAAGTTGGCACTGCAGTGATAAAATTCAAAATGTAAACTAATCACAGAAACATGTTTTTCTGCACTTGAAAATCTTCATAATCTTTTTCCATCTGTGTAAATCTCACGAGGTGTCAGTGTAAATATGGCTTTTTGTCTGTCAGCTGGAAGCAGATCCTCCTCGTATGTCCAGGCATCTGTGAAGACGGCAAGCAACAACTCCCCCTCATTACTGTCTACCCTGCCTTTTGTAACTCCATGGCTAGTACCCCCCCCCCTCTTAAAAAATCATTCTGTGATCAAATTTAATGCAAAAACAAACCACCGATGGAAAATCTGCCAGTAACCCCCCTCCTACTGATTGGTACAGTCCAAGGAGGGGCAAGGCACCCGTTTAAACAGATTCCCCAGCCTCCGGAGAGAAGTTTGACGCTTGAAGTATAGTGTATCGTCCAGCACCAATGGGAATGAAGAGTTTCCCTCCTTTAAAAACGACAGTGAAGACGTCTCATCCCATTTGAAAGAGCATTTTCTTTAAGTCCAAATGGCACAGAAATCAAGGGCCCTTACTTCCCTTTATAGATAATCTTCATTGGGCGTTTAAGATGCCTAAGGAATGAGGAACATGTTGCTTCTGCAGCATCAGCTGAAAAATGACGACAGCAGTAAGAAACAGCACGCTGAATGAGGGCAAAGTTATGTTTGAATCTTTTGTACGATGCCCGTTGTTTGCACCTGAGACGGGTTTGCACTCAAACTCCAATCCCTGATCTGGTTTGACTTAAGATGGTGACGGACAGGTCGGGGTCTGGGGTGTGTATTTGTGTGTAAGTGCATGCATGCATTTGTGCATTTGAATCTACTGAGAGACAGCGATAAGAGGTCGGATAAACCTCTGCACCAACACTGACGGCTCCAGCAGGTGTCCACAAGGAGAGCGGAGCTTTATAACCTAAAATCTAATTAATAAAGAGAGAAATATGTTCACGTTTGGGGGTAAATCCAGCCCTAAACATATCTTCATCTGTTTAAGAGTGAGGCTAAACCCAGATTGTATTTAGCCCAGAATATTTGCATTTAAACCTAGTGGTGGTTTGTGATTACCCCCAGGTGGGTGGTGATTTTAGAGTCATACATCTCCCTGGTTTGTGGTGTGTTCAGGCCTCTGTGAGTTGGAGAAGTGGTCAGACCCTTAGCGAAGGTCCCGCTGCTCCACTGAGGGGTGTCGTGGAGCTGCAGTCATAGCCCACATCCACCACGGCATGGGGTCCAACAACCAGCCGTCCTGGGAAGGGCTGTGCCTGCACCTGCCGGTCTCGGAAACTCTGGATGTAGCTCTGGAAAATGATAGTTTTGTTCAAAACAGCCAGCATGAAAATTAAACATGCATTTAAATGCAAGAAAAGGGATTTCTTTCCTCTCTAACAGATATTAAAAGAAAATAAGAAGTTCGTTGGTTGGGACAACAAGCAGAGAAAGGTCCTTACTGGCGAGAGAACGTCCGTGTCATAGCGGCGGATGGGGTTTGGTTTGCGACGGTAGGCGGGCTCAGAGTGGAGTTGCTTGGCCTGGTTTTGATTGTGGGAGGAGGCGCCATGCTGCTGCTGCTTCTTCTTCTTCTTGCTGCGGTAGCGGTCGTCACGCTGACGAATTCGCATCACTTGCATCCTCCTCTGCTGCCGGCTGATGATCACTGTGGAGGAAAAGGGCGGTGAGGAGATACTAAAGGATTTTGTCATGTTGTGCTTTACCTGTAACACAACAGCTAAAGACAGCGGCTCTGGAAGTTAAGTGGAAGATTCTTGTCCAAAGTATTTGCATTAGGTATCTCCTGACCCTCAAATCATGTCATCATGACAACCCAGAAAAACAATTAATTTCTAGTTTTAGAGATATGCACTGCCAGTTTTCCTCACCCTTGGTATGGGAGTATCCCTCAGCGGTCACCTTCCACTGGACCATGACCCCCAGCAGGGTGAGGGCAGGCCACACCCCAAGCACCACCCACGTCAGCCAACAAACAGGTTTGCCAGGTGCTGCTTTCATCCGCTCGTACATGTACAACACCAGGGCGAAGAGCTCCACGAAGTAGTCCAAAGCCACCGTGATCACTGCTGCACCGAACACCGCTGTTGACAGCGTGGTAAAGAGACGCTGCCATTGCAGGGTGAGCACGGCGAACAGCATGCCCAGGCCAAGCAGAACGCCAAGGGGCACCCAGACGGAACGCGGTGGGCTGTCGGACAGCTCCTCCATGCCAACCAGGGTCGCCACGGCTACCAGCAGGCCCAGCAGCAGGCCCACCATAAAGAGGCCCACGCTGCGAACCAGCATGGTGACCAGGCCGCAGAGCGTACCAATGCCCAGGCCGATGCCCACCGAGGCCTCCACGCTCAGCTGGGTGTCCAGCACGCGCTCCTTGTAGCAGAGCATGAAGATGACGACAGAGCCGAACATCAGGCCCGTCAGGAACATCACTGCTTTGAAGCAGCGATATCCTGAAAGAAGAGGAGAAACGTAAGACACCTTCAACAAGGCTTAACAAGAAGAGCATTTCCGATGCAGGGGGTCAAACTTTCAAGAATGTTCCAGATAAACTTTCCAACTTACCAAAGAAGCAGTAAATGATGCCAAACAGACAGCACATTGAGCAGACGACAGAGGGGACCACCTTGTAGCGGCCAGCAACGTCCTCACAGCCATCCAGCCGCTCGGGGCTCAGCTTCTGGTAGGGCTGGTCCAGCAGCGTATCCACAGTAGTCGACATGGCGAGGAGGAGAGGGAAGGAAGATGGAGGAGAAGAGGTGATCAGGTGGGAGGCGAGGGGCAGGGGAGGCTATGGAGCACTGCCCAGGTGCATGGTTTTATCTGTGGATAGAAAAGAAGGGACAGTTAAAACAAATGTTATTCCAATTAAAGGGCCATGAGAATATGTATTCAAAATCTTATGTTAGTGTTTATTCTATGTAGATTTTAAGAAATATTTTGAAAAGCCGAACAGAAAACTAGAAGATTTTAACCATATGATTTGTAAAAATACAGATCATGTCTATCCGATTTAAATATATTGAGCTAAACCATGGAAAACCACCGGCATGATCCAAAAGGATCAACACCAGCAACAAATACCCCTTTTCAAACCTTTAATAAAGTGGCTTTCAAATTTGGAGCAGTATTGAAACCTGACTTTGCTTTGTGTCCCTATACACACACACATGCACACAGTTTGGCTTCCACCCACCGGGAGAATCAGTGGATAATAATAGCTCAGATGACAGCGGGTGTTTGAGCCGGGTGGACGAGGACAATCACAGCCTCATGCTCTCCCTGGGTTGACGGGGAAGACAGTGGTAATTATGATGTATGCAATGGTACGTTTTTGGACCATGGCAGACTAGTACAATGACTAAATATTTTATAATGTTTTAACATTATTTTATACTTTCTTTAGACAGTGAAAAAAGTTATCTGATCTGTGGCAAAACCCTTCAAAGAATGTAGTTTTTGCGTGATCCTGCGGACTAACAAACAAATGTAAACTATGCCACGTCCAGGCAGGTTCCTCTTAAATATCATCCAATTTCATTTCAAGGACTTTCTTCAACCTTTGAAATAAATATTTATATGTTGTTTAAATGCTGTTTAGATTTTCTTGCATGTGTCAGATTCCCAAACTTGTGACAGCTAGTGCAATTAAAGGTAGAACGAACGAAGAATTGATCAATTGCAGAACTGAAGCAGGAAAAAACTTTCCCCTCATTCCCACACCTCCTCCCCCCTGTGATTGTTCTCTCCATCTCGGGGGGAGTTCAGTCCAACTGTGGAGCATTTCTGGGTCAGAGGTGCTTATGCAACTTCTGTCTGGATTCTCTGATATTCATGATATCCCCTGACCCTTCCTCCTTTCCTTTGTCCTCCTTTGCATCCTGAATCCTTTCTGCGTCCCTTCAGCGCCTCTTCAATTTCATCACTCCCCGCCCCCCCACCCACAGCCTCTAGTTATTTACCCCCCCCGAGGGTTGTGTCAGTAAACAGGACATAAATATTTGTGTCACGCAGACGGTTGAAAATGGTCTGAAAGAACAAAAATATCCTCCGTCTCACTTTCCTGCAGGGAAGGTGGTTTTAAAAAAGGCTGGACAGAGTTGGCCCGACCTAACCTTGAGCCGAGACAAAGTCCGCTGCACTCTGATGGTGAAATATCTACAACCAAAGCGTCGATGAAAACGTATATAAATTAGCCTTAAGGGCTAAGAACGTGTTGATGAGTGTTCTCACAACTAATGCAAGTGTATGTGTGTGTCTGACATAGAGGTGCTATTGCATTTGAAAGGAGTGAACAGTCAGGGAACAATGATAAAGCCCAAAACGACACATACACACATAAATTCTAAAATAGCCTGCATATAGAAACACACACATACTCTTTCAACATTTTAATCCCCATTTTATCCAAACATGTCATATTAATAATCATCTTTTGTGGAGGATTAGTAGGTTACAACTGGGTGACCCTGTTTTTGTGCGCGCATGTGTGCATACGCGTGCGTGCGTCCCGCAGAATTAAGCCGCTTCCTACTCCCGCAAATCAAAATGTGCAGTTCTTATGTTTGCAGATGGATCATCCTCACAAACAGACAAAATAAACAAGCGAGGAGCTTCTTCCACTGCGTTTCGAATCCGCAGCAACGACAACAACACTCTCCTCCTGTTACCCTGCTTCCTGTCTGTTGCCATGACAACCTCGGGATACAGACAGCCGGTAGTCGGGTCTGGTCCAGGACTCGGCCAATGGAAGAGGAGCTTAAACTCCCATAGCAACAGTGTGAGAGCCAATCAATGACCTTGTCTGTTCCCTGTATGAATGTATTCATAAATGTGTGTGTTATGAAAGAATGTTCTCCTACTATAGCAACCCTCCCCACAAATCTATATTAAATCATAGTGTTAATGACAAATACTGATCAAATCCAGACTGATCAAAATAGTAAAGTTATTAAATGCAAATAGTACTATATATATAACTAACCAACATGTCTACTTCAAGTCCCAGCGACCTTTCCTGCAAATGCTGTGTTTCGTCTTTGATATCATGTAGTCAAATAAATACCCACCGTTCCCTTAATAAAATTAAAACAACACATTAGATCAATTTCAGGTTCCACACGTTTATCTGAAAGATTATCCGTCATCATCTTGCCACAAAAGCAGTTTTGCAAGCGTGCATGAGACTGACTGCAGCTCAGTTACTGAAATAATAACTCAACACAAATCACCACGTTTCTTTATGGATATGACAAACAGCTTCTGGAGAAACTGAATGCATCTGTCTCAGCTACTGTGTGCTGAGAGCAAAGTTATCCCTCCTATAGGCAAAATGAAACGCCAGATTTACTCTGTGTGCATCTGATAATCTGAATTTGCTGCAAAGACTTTCCTTTGTCTCTGTGTAATAGAAGTATTTTTTGTTGCATGCTTAAATCGACCCCTATCCCCTTATTGGCTCAGCAATGAAAACCTCTCCAAACAATCAGTTTCTAGTCTAGACACAAAAAAAAACCAGAAGGAAAAAGCAGGTTGAAAGGGTTCAAACTGTTTGTGGTTCACTCGATAAGACCCAGACACACTGACACAGATGTGCGGCCATTTTCAGCGCTGACATCATCGGTGGCAAAGCTTTTTTATGAATAAAGGAAACTGTGTCTATTAATACACAGAGTACACAGGGTGGCTGAGAAGCAAGATGCTGCATCACGTCTGACCTGCACGATGGAGTCGAGACAACAGCTCAGCTCCTTTTACTTTACTTAAGTTTATTTGGCATAAAAGTAACGTTTGCACATTAAGATAATTGTGTTTCTTGGTGTTGATGTGTTCAAACGCCTGCAGGAATCTGTGCCATCCAGAGCTCGTGAGGCATTCACATGCTGTATTTTGTCAGAGAAAATCCAACAGATGACATGAAATAAAAAGGAAGTTCCCACCGAGACAGACTAACACAAGAAAGGGACAAGACAGGGACGTCACCTTCTGTTATATCCAATGCAAACCACACAAAGGCCATGTCAAGATCCTCAACCATCCTGCACCTCAGTGCTGATGCATCTCGATCACCTCCTGGTGGTATATTTTAGGCTAGTTCTTATGCAAAAGGAGAAAGCAGAGACACGATGTCCAGCTTTATTTGCAGCTCATCTCATACTCAGCTTGCAGGTTTTTAAACTCAACTTCCAGTGAGTTACATTCACTCATTCGTCTTCACCTCTGTCTAACAGGACTAAAAAGAAGGAATTCTGGTTTTGCTGCGCAACATAGGTGGGCGACTTGATTCACTTTGCATCTTAATGAGCTACGACTGGCAGAGACATCTGATCACTTCTTCAAGCGTGTTGAAATGATGAAAGACTTCTTTCCTCCTTCTCTATAACCTTGACTTCAGATTAGAACCTCATCTAAATTGTGTCTCACTTTGAGGATCTGTCTTGTTTTTCTAACACTACAGTACTTTTCTGTGTAGGTTTCATAACCCTGTGAGTCATGAAATCTGCTTCACGATGTGTTTGTTCAACAAAATATTTTTGTTCCAATCTCTCCTCCTCTGCTTCTGTTTCAAACGTCTCTACAGTAACACAAAGAGCAAAAAACAGAGGAAACACATTCGCCAACTTCACAGGTTTTGTGCTGCCATACTCTCAAGCCCTAAACTGTTTATTGTCAATAATTCTCTTCACAAATTGATTTATAAAGCTAGAAAACTTCCTTGAGAAATATGAGAACATATTAGATTCTAGAAATGATTTCAATTTGATTTGAAAACTATCAACAATTTTTGCAGTGTGGCATTTCAGCAGTGTGTGTTTGTGTCCGACACCCAGCTGTGCTTCTCGGTCGGAGGTTCAGATGGTTTGTGGCGGGGCGACTCTCTGACTGAAATCATATGTTTGAAAAGGTTGAGAATAACTGACTGTTTCTTTTTTACCTCAAGGTGTTCTTGAGATATGCGAAAAACTCACAAACTCTTAATAATTTTATCCTTGAGTCCGTCTTCCACCTTGGAAGTATAGAAACCTTCCACCATTATTTTATATGAGTAAATCTACAGACTTGAAAAGTTTCACGTATGAGCACATTTGGAAAACGCAAGAAACTATATCCGTCCATGTTTAATGCAACAGGTTGCAACAGCAGGAAAACGTAAACATACGTAAACAAAAAAACATTGTACTCTCTCACAAACTATAAACTCTTACATGTACCATCATACTCTCTACAATGCAAATGTCTCTGAATGAAGCTGGACAGTAAAGAATGACAAAGATGCTGAATAACAGATGAAATTAGATGGTGGAGAAAAAAAAGGGAGGATGACAGGAAGGGACTAAAATAAAAGAAGAGAGAAGGGAGGGAAGAAAGGAAGAAACTCCTAACCTCTAACAGCCAGTGATTTCCTTCTGAAAAATAAAAATACCCCCAGAAACACTGACACTTCGATAAATAACTTGAAAAGTAAACAGCATAGCTCATGTACGAAGATAATTCCTCTAAGGGCCCCTTTTTATCCGATGTGGGGAGGGGTTGAAACTGAAAAAGGGGAGATAAAAATGAAAGGGAAGGGAAAGAAAAGAAAAGATGCTGTGTTGCATAACGGCGTCGTAATGCATTGCTCACCGCGCTTCAGCTCCTTTCCAGTTCACTTTGCATTGGCAACGATTGCCATGATTCAAAACCAGAAAAACACACACACAAAGCTGAGTGTGTTTACAAACAGGTGCAACATGGGAAAAAAAACTGCAGGCGCTCTGATGAATAAAAATAAAATCTGCTCATGTTCATACAAAATGACGGTTTCTTAAGGATTTAAAAAGCAG